GGACCTTATCTGGTTCCTGGCTGTATCCCCCATGTGACCCAGCATAGACAAGATGTCCACCTTTTTGAATCCAAGTGGCATCTCCAGGTAGCCTTACAAGTTTCCCTGGATTTCCTGGCCACACACCTGGATTCCCAGCACACCTGAGGGATATAGTGCTCTCCTGGCACCGTGGGGCCTGCTGGAGCACTGCTTGAAAAGCACAGCTCTAGGGCACAGAGGGAGAATCTGCAGCTGGAGGGGCCCTTACAGGCTTCCTAGTTCTCTGTGTGAACACCTCCTGTAGGGTCCCTACCGAACGGCCCTCCATCAGATGGCTGTGACCATTAGAAAGTTTCTCCTTGGCTTGAGCCTAAACATGTCTCTGCGTCCCCTTTCCTCTTGGCTCTTGTTAGGATCCTCCCACCACTTCCTCGCTTTGCTTTCTGGAGAGCAGTGTGCCTGCTGATGAAGCGAGACTCCCGACTCATTCTGTTCTGCTGCTGGGTTCAGCACAGAGGTACTCTGGACACGTGGGCCTACCACTTCATCTATGGCTACCTGGCTTTCCTGGCCCCATGGGAAAAAGTTGCCTCATAATAGCTCCCCGATTTCCTTTTTGTTCCTTAGAGATCACCAGCTGTGGCTCGTGGTCCCACGTGCATGACTGAGCATTAGAGTCACCTGTGGCACTTACTTTAAAGAGGAGAGAGCAAGGTGGGGGTTGATCCTGGGGCATGTTCCTTCCACAACAGTTCTGAATTAACCACCTCAGGGCTTAGTGCCCTTAGCAGTTTTAGTGCACCGCTGGCTGGACTAGCGATAGCCCATCCTGGGAGCTAGAGCTCCTTCCTTCTGGAGCTGCCCCCCTTCCCACTGTGTTCCAGTGAACTGCTAGGCAACGGGAGCCACAGATCTGGACTTGCTGGGGGTCTGGGCCACCCTTCTTCTCCCGACAGCCCACTTCTCTGATTTCCAGGGTTCAGCTGGGGCAGCTGCCGCCGTGACTGAGGGCAAAGAATGAGGGCAGGAAGAAGGGAGGATGAAGTGGGTATGGAGAGTGTGTCCAGATTGTTGGGTCTGTCCCTAGGTTGTCCTGGCCCCTGGGCCTCCAGTTAGCACTGGTTCTAAGAAGAGAGAGGGAAACAGGCTTCCTAATACGTTGGCTGTGTCTGGCTTTTCCAGCCCACAGGATAAGTGCTCCTGTGCCCCCATCCCCTTGTTGTCAATCGTGGGTCATGCCCTAGATCTCTGTGAGGTAACTCGGGGGAAGCGAGTGGCTGTAGAGGGGCTGGCTCCCTGGGAGGTGAAGCTGCCACCCTGTTGGCCCTGGGCAGGGCGGATGGATTGGTGCACACTGCAGACTGGGTTTCTATGACCCTCCTGAGCCAGTGGCTGGTGCTTTCCTGGGCCTCCCTGTCTGGCCCCTGGCAGGAGGTGACCATGATGAAAGAGCCGCCAGGGTCAGCTGGAAGACCCATCCATCAGTGCTCTGTCTCCTGTCCGAGTCTCCTGGCGGGGCTGCAGCTGGCAGCCTGGGCTTGGCAGTTATTCCATAATTGGAGCAGGAGTCGTTAAAAAGCCATTACTGTCTCCTCGCATGGTTATTGTTCAGTGCAGCCTAGAAGAAGCCCGTCAGAAAGAGGCAGGCTGCGGAAGTGTCGGTGAGAAAGGAAAATGCCCTAGAAGTGGTGCGAGAGTGGACCAGGAGGCAGGGCCATCTGGGTGGGGGTGGAGAGGGGCTGGGCCTGCTGAGGAAGCGAGGGGAGCCGTTGGTTCCTCTCTCCCTGGAGACAGCCATCCTGTTGTCATTGTTCTGCACAGCAGCTGCCATTTGCTGGGGATTCTTTGTTATTCACCAGGGAGAGTTGTTGCATGCTTAGATACGTTGTCATTGGCCAGGAACACCTACCTAGTACAGCTAGTACAAGCTTGTCACTGCGAGGCAGTCCACCTTGTTCCCTCGCAGCTCTGCTAGAAACACTGCTCTTTACCAGGAACCTGCTTTGTTCCACGTGTTGGGCTGCTCTCGGAGCCTCCTTATTTCGGCGGATTTATTGTAGGCGTTCCTGGAGGGGTCTGGCTCTGCCAGGCAAATGTTGCTTCTCCCCAGCTGCACCACCCCCACCCCCACCCCCACACACCTTTCCTTCTGTGCACTCGAGCATGCTGGGTGGTGAGTTAGGTGGTAGAGGCTCTCTAGGTACTTCCGGGATGTCTGAGGTTTCTGGAATCTCTTTCCAGAAGCCTGGCGCTTGTGTTTATCCCTCTTTCTCTGAAGGCTGGTGGTTAAGTCCTTCCTGCTTGTAATCTTACCTGGTAATCAGTGTTACTGAAGTCTGTGGCATCTTATCATTCTCCCCCATCAGGAAGTGGAGGTGGGGACAGAGGAAGAGGAAGTGATGTTTTTTTTCGTGGAAAGCAGCCGCCTTGTCCCTGGCATAACTAGAAGGTCCACAGCAGTGGGACAGTGGCCTGTGGTAGGAAAATGACCCCCTTTGTGGGTAAGGGCATTAGGGGGCACTGGGTAGTAAGGCTGGAAGCATCCTTTATCAGCTGAGCAGCCACTGTGACCCCACATTTCTGGAGGTGGCTTTGCTGACGTGAGCTTCACCTCTCAGTCTCCTTTTCTAAATGACTCTGGATATTAGCATCAGCACCATGGGAGGCATCTTCTTTGTCCTGCTCAGTCAAGCCCAGTGCCGGGGATGGCCCAGATGACTGCCCTGTCCCTGGCACTGCCCTCTCGTGACATCCAGTAAGTTGTGAAGCAGCCTCTCTCGCTGGCACAAAGGGAAGCCAGCGCTGTCACAGTGGTGGTCGCACAGAGGGTCCTGTGGCCAGGCCACTGGCACACAGCTGTGAGGTTTGCACGGCAAGCAGAGCACAGTTGGATCTCAGACCCCATCGTTCCTGTCAGCTGGGTGCCATTGTGCACAGCCCAGACTGCATTTTTCATCATGTCCTGAAGTGGAGAGTGAGTATGCACTGCTCGTGGCGGACGGTGGTGTTTGGGTCTGACCCTTTGAAGTTAGAGCCAATGCTTTGCCCTTGGTTATTTTCAGTCAGGCCAGTGACTTAGCTGCTGAGACAGTGGAGAGTTGCAGCCTCCCGGGCCTGGCAGGGCCCTCGGGCATCCTGCTTGCCCTGGTACCCGAACCCTTCCTTCAGAAGTCTTGCTGCAGCCCTCAGCCTGTGGTGTGTGCCTTCCACGATGGGATGTTTACCATCTCAGCCAGCTTGAGTTTTTAGGGAGCTGGTTCCATCCTCTGGTCCTGGCAGTGCCCTCAGGGAGGCCCAAAAGCAGCTGCGCCCTCTTGGGCACGCGGGCTGGTTCAGGAAGGCTGAGGCCTAGGAGTATGTCTGTTGGGCAGTATTTTCTCCTGTGCTCAGCAGCTGAGGATTTGGTGAATGAGGCTGTTTTATACACAGCCCCAAATCACAGTTGGGGCTCCTCTGACATGAAGATTAGACCATGGCTACCAGGAAAGGCTTTCCCAGATGTCAAGTGGGTAGGACAGCTGCCTGTTAACTATATGCATAATCCTCATAGGTGGTGACCAAGGAAGTGGGTATGTGAAGGCAGAGGTGGGTGGTCTGCAATATGGGGCTTCCTTCCACCCTCTGGCTGACTCCCTCAGAGATACAAGTACATTAAGGAACATGTAGGTCAATGATTGTTCCAGCTAGAAAGGGATGGTTGTCAGCAGTGGGTAGAAACGGCATCACCTTGTCCTTGACCTCATCTTTCCCCGTGCACGCAGACTGTTTTCACCTTCAGGCAAGCACATCTACTTCTTAAATAGGTGTCTGCATGCGCGTGTGCACACACAAGAGAAACGCTCACATGCATCCTTATAGCCTCAGCAAATCGAATGCACTCAGGCGTGCCTGTGCAAGCGTCCACACGCAGGTCTGGCTCAGGGGCAGGCTTCAGCATAACTGGGCCGGGACTGCCTGGGGCTTCGCAGAGCTCAGATCCTCAGGCTCCATTTTCACCCCATGCAGCTGTCCTGACCTTGGCTTTTATAGAATTTGGGCCTAGGTCTCGTGCGTGTGTCTTGTGCTAGTAAGAAAGCTAAGCGGTTTGAGTTATTAATACTAGCTCCCTACTTGTGCTCTGCCTTCCTGGGAGGCAAGGCCAGTCTGGGTTAGATGAGGCTGCCTGTTCCAAGACTTGTGGGGTTGAAGGATTTGATGTCCCCCGTGCTGCCTGTGCCATGTCTGTGGCCGGGGAAGGCCTGGTGGCTGGTTGCAGGGCTGTGCATTGCTGGGTTATGTCCACCATGCAGACGTCCCCACCCAGCCCAAGCCCTGTGCTGAGGTACTGGTTGGTCTCTTAACGTCACTCTCCCAAATGACATTCTGTCCTTTTTAAGTGGGGAAGGGAAGTGGGCAGGGTTAGCAGCTCCACTCTGCCCATCTGGAAAGCCAGGCACTTGCTCTGAATGGATGGGGACAGGGTCTGCCCCAGAGGATTCAGCCTCCTCCAGAAATGATGGAAAGGAGTGGAGAGCAGAGATCCCCTAGGAGCAGGCCCCTGGGTTGAAGCCTGGCCAGCCTCAGGCCTAGCTTGCGACTGATGCCTCTGGATGGGTTCTCCTGGATTTCAGTCAAGCCTGGCCCTGCTCAGGGAATCTGATGGGAAAGTCTTGTCCTGTACTTACTGCAGCCAGGCCAGCAGGGACATCCTGGGGCAGTGGGGGTCCTTGTGGGAGATAAGCTCCCAAAGTGGCAGCTCAAGCTCGAGTGGTGGCAGCCCCCACCCTTCCTCCCATTTGGGTTCACTGAGTCCCAGGAGCCATGATGGGAGGAGTTTAAGGGACCCAGATGTGCTTGGGGAGGGCTCTAGGCCAGTGGTCCCAAGCCTTTTTGGCAGTAGGGACTGGTTTCGTGGAAGACAATTTTTCCCCAGGGGCAGGGATGGTGTAGCTCTGCAGCTCGGGTTTGGGGACTGCAGCTGTAGGCTACATCCTGGCACCTCGTGGGCAGGCCCCAAATAACCCTCTCTCCCTCTGCAGTGTCTTAGATGACGAGGGCAGCAACCTGAGGCAGCAGAAGCTTGATCGGCAGGTGAGTGAGGTTGGGGCTGGGCTAGCCCCCTTCCCTGGGTGATCCTGTCTGATGGGGTAAGCGGTTCCACCTGGAAGAGAAGAGGTTCGCTCTCTTCTCCACCAGCTCAGCATTAACTCTGCCCCAGTGCATGGGGCTCCTGCCCAGCAGGCAGCCAGGGTGGCCACCACAGTTGAAGGGCTGAATGTCTGTGCTGTGATTCTGCCACGTGGGCTGAGTTTTGCCTCCCTGTCCTGGACCCCAAGTTTCAGGGTGCCAAGGACGTGGGGCCTTGGCCCCGAGTGGGCTGTGGACCTGGGTGCAACCTCTAGAACCCAGCCAAACAAGCAGGGCACTGTCTCTGGTCCCGGTCTGGGAGCCCATCCCTCCTGGTGGAGGCGGTGCATCAGTCAGCCTCTGTGCCTGCCCCGTGCCTCCGCAGCGGGCCCTGTTGGAGCAGAAGCAGAAGAAGAAACGCCAGGAGCCCCTGATGGTGCAGGCCAATGCGGATGGGCGGCCCCGGAGCCGGCGGGCCCGGCAGTCGGAGGAGCAGGCCCCCTTGGTGGAGTCCTACCTCAGCAGCAGTGGCAGCACCAGCTACCAAGGTACACCCTGCCTGCCACCCCAGGGACAGCTAGCCTGGGGAGACCCCTGTGCGGTGGCTCCACATCCTGGCACCACTTTGGAAAGCCCCTCAGGGACTTGCTGCCAACGTGGGCAGGGGAGAGGCTGGTCCTGTCAGGGTGTGCCTGTCCCCAGGCCGAGTGTGGCTTCTAGCCCAGCTGCACAGCTGAGTGGGGCAGGTGGAGGGAAGCTAGGACCTGTAGCCTTGGGCTCTTGCGTGTGCTCAGGCTGTCACCTGAGTCAGGTGCTGGGGTCAGAGGCTAAAATTTTATGGATCCAGGAGTTCAAAAGCCCAGGTTTCTATCTGGAGCATTTCGCTGAGGTCAAGAGGCAGCTCCTAAGAGCAGACAGCCTGTTCCCCGCCGGTACGCTACTCCTGCGAGGAATCTGTCTCTCACCATCCTGCCTCACACCACCTGGTGTCTCTGGGGACAAACACTCATTTCCTTCCTCCCTGAATTCCCTGCACCCTCAGTCTGACCTGCAGGTCCCTGCCCCTGGCTCATGACTGCGTAGAGCTATAGTGACCTGCAGCCTCTGGCTCCCATCCTTACACGCTGCAGTTCTCAGCAGAGCCCACTTGGAGGGGTTCTCTGCAGCTCATCCTGCCTCCTCATTCGTTGCATCCCTGCCCTCAGGACGCTGCCTCCTGTTTGGGTTAGGGCAAGAGTACCCCAGGCCAGACCGAGGTTTAGTCTCTGAGCTTGAAAGAGGGACTCAGATTCAGTCACCACTGCCCCCTGCTGGTGCCAGTAATCCAGGCAGCCACTTCATCAAGGAGTAACTCCAAGGAGGTTGCAGGCATCTGGCCCTCGGAGTCCAGAAGAACCTAAGCAACCATGGCACTCCCCTCTTCTGTGGCCCCTCTGTGACGTGGAGCCTCCAGCCATGTTGAGCTGCTAGGAGTTGCCTCACCTCAGGGGCTGACCTTGTTCTTTAACTGCTGGCCCACCTCCTACCCCATGGTGTTTCAGGTTCTCTGTTCCGCTAACCAGCCCTCAGCTCACTGGCCCCCTTGCCTGTGCCTCGGAAGGCAGTGGTTGAGTCTCGTTCACCTAGCGCCCAGTTTGTGGCTCGGCACGCTGTGCAAGCTTGGTCCCGTGTGCACGCCTACCCTCGGAGGAAACCCACTTAGTTCCTGCAACAAAGGCTGTCGTTGGGCACTGGCCAGTGGCTGAGCACAGTGCCAGGTGCTTTACCTGCACTAGCACCTTCCAACTTCACGTAACTCCTCATCCTCACTTGCTCCTTAAGGACATGGGCCCTGAGGGGTTCAGCGACTTGCTCGCAGTGCACTGCTGGTGAGCAGCGGGGCCTGTCAGACTCCAAGTGGTCTTTCTACCATATCATGTTGCTTCCTTGATAAGAAGCTCCTTCATGGTCATTCCCCTGCGTGTACCTCAGTTCCTTGCCCTGGGCCATACCTAGTATGACTGTACTCCACCCAAGAGGCCCGCCAGTAAAGGGGGCCAGGGACCTCAGCCCAGCTGTCTCGGAGAGGCAGCCCCAGCAGCTCCTCACAGAAGGGGCCCTGGGCCCCCCTTTCCTGGCAGCCCCTCCCCCACTTCTTCTCTGAGCACTGTCCCGGGGGTGGTGGTGTGCCCTGCCGGGAAGGCAGCCTGTTCTGGGTCCCGTGGAGCCTGGCCTGTGTGGCGTTACCACCCCAGGCCTGACGCCGGGTCGAGACTGCATATGGGGTGGGAGCTGCACCCAGCACTTCGGGCCCTGCTGGTTTGTGCCAGAGGCCACCATCTTGAGAAGTCATTGATGGGCAGTCATTTGGGCAGGTGTTTCTTGAGCGCCAGCTATGTGCCAGGCACTGCCAGGCCCTCAGAAAGACTGTGGCAAGAGAAGTGGCACCTCTGGGGAGAGTGCAGGACTGAAGTCTGGCCGTGCCATTACCAGTTTTACCTGCTCGCTTGTGACTGTGGGCAAGTCACTTACCCTCTCTGGGTCATTTCTTCCACTATAAAATGAGGGAAAATCTGTCTTAGGGCTTTGAAAATTGAAGGTGCCATGATGTGTTCCAGGGTCCAAAATCGGCTGATTGCTGGTGCCTGCTGAAATTCCAGACCAGCCTGGGCCTTCCCAACAGAGGACATTTGACCTCTGGAGGTGCACACTGCTTCCTGGGGGCCCAGTCTTTGTCCAGCTCCCAGGGGTGGACAGAACTCTGGGGAAGCTGCCGCACACCCACCTGCCAAGCCTGGAACTGGCGTTCCTGAGACCACCCCACCCCAGCCTGCGGCGTTACCTGCCTCCCGCTCTGCCCTCTGCTGGCCCTTGGTGTTCAGTATGGATCACTCCAAGAGGAAGTTGAAGGAGTTTGACATACATCAGAACTGACAGTTTATCCCAGTAAAGCTTTTGACCTACTGGTTGTGCTCATTCATGTTACACATTCATTCATTTCTTAAATGTTTATTGAGGGTCTGTTTTGTGCTAGGCTCTGGATCAGGGACTAACGCAGTATAATGGCCGCAGGTGAGCACAAATGGGTGTGGTCTGTGCTTTCCCAGACCTTACAGTCTAGGTGGGGAGAGTGTTCGACAGATGGTCATAGGTGTGCTTTGTGGAAAGAAGCCAGGCTCTGTGAGTGGATGACGGAACACCTGTTCCAACTAGAGAGTCAGGGACAGCTTCCCTCAGGAAGTGACGCCTGAGCTGAACTCTGCAGGATGAGTAGGAGTTAGTCACGTAGCGCAGGGCAGTGCAGGCAAGAGAAACGGCTAGAGCAAGGGCCCTGTGGCAAGAGGAATCTGGTGCGTGTACAGCACTGAAGGAACCTGGTGTGGCTGGGATGCTTCGTGCTTTAGAGGCAAGGAGTGTGCGGTTAGACCAAGGGGAAGGGGGAGGGAACATTGGCCTTCATCTCGAGAACATTCAGAAACCAAGGATTTTGAGCAATTCTGCTGGAGAATTTGGAGGCCACCAGCTGTGACCCTTCTGAGATCTCGCTGTTGGTTTGTGTAGCTCCTTGTATCCCAGATGTCTTCTTCCTCAGTGCGCCCCTACACCCGGGGCTCCCACGGCCCATCCCACCGACCAGAGGGTCCCCGTGCAGGCTCCCCGGAACGCTCACCCTGGTTTGGTCTCTTCAGTAAGATGCAGCCTTTGTTCCCTTCCTCCCCCATCTTCGATGACCCACATCCTCATGGACACCCTCCCTGTTCAGGCTCAGACCAGTTTGCTAGCCCAGAGCTGTGAGTTCTCTGCTTCTTGGCTGATTGGTTTGGATCTGGTTGTTGACTTGATTACGCTAGGCTGGGGTGCCACCTCCTTCCTGGAACCTTTGCCTGGTAGATGCGTGGGCCTGACTCTGTGGGCCTGGGAGTGGGCACAGGCACCCCGGTGGGGGGAGGGGTTGGGAAATGCTGCGTTGGGAACTGTTCAAATGGGAGCTCTGGTCTCACCCAGTGCCCATTTCTCTCTCCTTGTCTCTCTCTCTCTGTCTCGGGTCCTCTCCTGAGCAGTTCAAGAGGCCGACTCACTCACCAGTGTGCAGCTGGGAGCCGCCCACCCAACAGCACCAGCCTCAGCCAAGAGAACCAAGGCAGCAGCCACAGCAGGGGGCCAGGGTGGGGCCTCCAGGAAGGAGAAGAAGGGAAAGCACAAAGGTCAGCTCGCCTTCTTGCCTTCTCCACAGCCCTCCCCAGCAGGCCTGGCCTCTCGTGACCTGGAGGTGCGGGACGGGGCGAGCAGCCTCGGTGAAGGCAGACTGGCACTCAGGGTCCCCGCTCAGCCAGCTCACAGGCCTTGTCTAGCTCATGGTGTGCGTGCCTGTGGGTGTGGGGAGGCCCACCACACTGCCAGGAAGTGACGTCCAGCTCAGCTGTGGCCTGGGACCACCCCTCCCCTCCCCCCCTGTCTTGCCTGAGCACCCTCTATCCTGACCCCTCCAGGATCTCCCCCAGCCTGGGCGAGGACATTCCCCTCAGTGGGGGCTCGCTGCCCCCCCCAGGCAGCCTGCCCCGTCCTTGTGCAGCACTCACTGCCAGCTCCTCCTTACAGTGCCGGCTTCCCTCAACTCCCTGCTCTAGTCCTGATTCCACGCTCTGGGCCGCAGACCAGGCTGTTGCATCTGCTGCTCTCTCTGTAGGAGAGGTCCCTAGAGATCAATGACAGTGATGGTGGCCTCTGCCCTGAGTCCTGTCTCCTGGCTAGACACCCTGTTTCCTCAACCCCCGTTCTCAGGCAGTGATTTCCAAGCCAGTGTGTCATGGTTGGACAGTGATGCATCAGGGTCCATGGCTTCTGGAGCCAGCCGTAGCACTCTGGGCATAGCTCACTTGACAGGCAGGCAGGGTGGCTGCCACTTTTGTGGGCCAGGCCTTGCTTCTGTTACTGAAGCTCTGTGGCAACTTGGGCAAAAAGGTGGACGTGGGATGGGAGATCCTTCACTCGGGAAGGCGAGTGTATGCCAACCACGATCTTTCTCAGGGGGTCCCGTATGTTCTTAATGGTGTGTGTGAGTTACTGTGTGTGTATGTGTGTTTGTGAAGAGAAAACACCAGCATGGATAACGTGTAGCTGGCCATGTCTGTGACTGATTGTCGACCTCGGCTATGGTCCGGATCAATTCTTGTTCTCTGTCTTGTTTTTTCCACTGTGCATGGTTTGGTAGATGGCTACCATCTGCCTTAAGGATGTGGGGTATTTCAAACCAGCCCTCAGCAATTAATATGCGGGACGAGCAGAAGAAACGAAGCCTACGCCTGTAATAGCTTACCAGTCGTTACCAGGCCGACAGCAGTCATTAGTTTTTTAAAAAATCAATTTTGCACATAAAGTTTTGCAGAGGGTCTCCCCACTCCTCCCTCACCCCCTTCATGGACGTCTGAGAATCCAGGCCCTTCTCTCCTCCTGGATGTAACTCAGGAGTGTCCGTGGCCTGCAGGCACCAGCGGGCCAGCAGCACTGGCAGAAGACAAGTCTGAGGCCCAAGGTGCGGTGCAGATCCTGACTGTGGGCCAGTCGGACCACGCCCAGGACGCAGGGGAGACGGCAGCTGGTGGGGGCGCTCAGCCCAGCGGGCAGGATCTCCGTGCCACGATGCAGAGGAAGGGTGAGCCCCGTGGGGGCCCAGTGACACCCTGCAAAGCTCAGCCCCAGCTTCTCGGGTGCTCCTTTCCCCGGGAGCATGGCCTTCCTGTGCACGTTCCAGCCTTCCCTGGCCATGTGGGGTGGGGGGCACACTCGGAGACAAATGAGAAACTTAGGGGCAGGGGCCCCTGATAAGGCCAAGTTAAGGGAAAGAAGCGTCAACTGGGGTAACCAACCCACAGCCCGGCCCCATCTCCCCCCACCTTCATCTCCTGCCTCCTGGGAGGACCAGGTTTGGGGGCAGATTTGCTTTCCTTTCCACTCCTTTAGAAATAGCTCCGCCTCTGGTAGAAAGCTCCCCGTGTGTCTGCTGAGCGAGGGAGAGCAGGACCAGGAGGCCAAAGCAGAGCAGAACCTCCCTGGAAACCAGCTGCCCCATTTCCCCACCATGAGCCCTGCCCTGGGGAGCCCCTGGTGCAGGGTGGCAGAGGGCAAAGTCTGGCAGTGCCACACACATTGTGGTGAATGGCTAATCAAGGATGGCTTCCTGGTGACAACTCGGGGATGGAGATGGCATTCCAGTTAGGGGAGGGCAGGGGGCAGAACAGCTGAGATGGCAGCTCAGGGCAGGTTGGGGGAAACATGAGGGGTCAGTGGGCCCCACACATCAGGCTGAGGAAGGACCCGAGGCCTGTTCCCTGTTCCGTGGCCTCTGCCAGCCAGGGCCTCTTGTAGGCCCAAGATGAGAAGTGGAGGTTCCTGGTGCAGGGTCAGCTCAGTGCAGGCCTGACACACAGGAGGCGGCGGCGATATGACTGTCAGGAGGGGCTGATGCAGGGACTGAGCTGAAACTGGGTGGTTGGTGGGGTGTATCCTAAGGATTGTGACCAGCCCCAGCTCATGTATGTGTGTCCTGGTGTATATGTGGACATGTGTGGGAGCATACATGTGAGTGTGAGTGTGTGTGTGTATAAGTGTGTCCGGGTCTGTGAACCTGAGTCTCTATGTGACTACGTGTGTTTCAGGGGCAAACTTCTCCTCATTTACCCTTTCTTGTTCTCTGCTCGGCCCAGGCATCTCCAGCAGCATGAGCTTTGAAGAGGAAGAGGAGGATGAGGATGAGAATAGCTCTAGCTCCTCCCAGCTAAATAGTAACACTCGCCCCAGCTCTGCTACTAGCAAGAAGTCCATGAGGGTGAGTGAGGAGTCTTTGTCCACAGCAGGGGTGAGACGGCAGTGTGCAGAGGACTGCTCGTCCAGACGGAAGGTGGGCCGTGTGCGAAATGGCGGGGAGCTGGCTTTCCTGGGGCCAGGGCTAGACCCAGCTGCCTGTCGAGACTGTCTCTGGCTGGGCTCTTCAGCCCTTCTACTCTCCCTCCTAATGTCTTCAGCCAGGCCAGGGAGGCTGGGGAGAGCTGGAGTTGAACAGGATGACCGCTGAGGCCCTGCCCATGCCCCGTGTCCACCCCTGGGGACTAGGAGAGGGAAGGGCTGGGAAGATAGCTCCTGACCCCAAGGATCCTGCCCTATCTCCCACCACCACATCAGGAGGTAGATTGGGATCCTAGACCAGCAATTTCGGCTGCTCAGGGTCACTGGGGCTCAGGCTCCTAACTCTCTCCCCACAGGAGGCGGCCTCAGCCCCCAGCCCCACAGCCCCAGAGCAGCCAGCGGATGTTGAAGTCCAGGATCTTGAGGAGTTTGCGCTGAGGCCGGCCCCCCAGGGTATCACCATCAAATGCCGCATCACAAGGGACAAGAAGGGGATGGACCGGGGCATGTACCCCACCTACTTCCTGCACCTGGACCGTGAGGATGGGAAGAAGGTGAGGTTGGTTTGGGCGTGCGTTTTCATCGAGGCAGGCTCGAGGGTCCTGCAGGCTAGAAAGTGACTGAGCCTCAGATCCAACACTGACCTCTCAGTTCCCCAAAGAAACAGCCTCTGTGCCTGGTCATCGCATACCTTTGTGTTTGCCAGTGCGTTCGCGTGTGCACACGTATGTGTTTGGGAGCTGACACAAGGGAGAGTCACTCATGTGCGTGTGGTGTGTGAGTGGCGCCCATGATTGTGTGCGGACCAGAGGCTGGGTCTGGAACGTGACCTTGCTCCACTCCCCAAGGTGTTCCTCCTGGCGGGAAGGAAGAGAAAGAAGAGTAAAACTTCTAATTACCTCATCTCTGTGGACCCAACAGACTTGTCTCGTGGAGGGGACAGCTACATCGGGAAACTGCGGTACCAGAGCTCCCCCAGGAAGCAGGCGGGGGTGTGGGGAGGGGCGGGGGCAGCCTCTCTGTAGAGGGCACCTCCTGTCCCTGAAGTAGATCTAGGCCAGGATTGGATCCTGTGTCAGGATCCACTCTCTTCATCAGATCCAGCCGTAGGCCCAGGTCTTTGCCCAGCCTAGAGCCAGACTTGGAGAAGGGCCTTTCACACCCTACCCTAAGCTGCTCCCAGGCAGGTGGGTGCCGGTCCACCAAGCATGATGGATCCACCCCCAGGATGTCAGTGATGATGCAGGCCACCATGGAAGAGCTGCGCTGGCTGCATGGTCAGTGCCAAGGAGCAGGGCTGAGTGAGCCCTTGCACAAAAGAGTGGCAGCAATCTTGGGGGTGGGGGAGGGGGAGAAGCAGGAAGGCTGTGAGTTAGGCCTCAAGGGGGAGGTGGAGTTTGCTGAGGAACAGAGTAGCAGATTTGGGGAACGTCACTAGAGGTGTGAGAGGTAAGGAGCTAAAGCTGGAGATGGGGCTGGACGGGACGGGAGATCTCATACGTTCTCCACGGGGTGCTAGAGTCTTGACAGACACCATTCTGCTTGCTCACCTGCCGTGAGGGGAACACCCCTGTTGCCCCAGGGAAACCTGTGGAATCCCAGTTTACCTCCCTGAATTGCCCTTACTGAACTCAGATGCCCTTTGAGTCAGCTCAGAGAAAGTCTAGGCCTTCTGCCCATGAAGTACCTTCAAAGACGTCGATTCGGTGAGCAGTGTGCCCCAGGTCTGCTCCTGGCCCAGCCCAGGATGCTTTGCAGGCACCTCATAGGACAGACTGAGCTATTCCCGGCCCTGGGCAGATGGTGCATGACCCTGTACTGATTGTGCCTTGCCTTCAGGTCCAACCTGATGGGCACCAAGTTCACTGTTTATGACAATGGAGTCAACCCTCAGAAGTCCTCATCCTCTGCTCTGGAAAGTGGGACCTTGCGTCAGGAGCTGGCAGCTGTGTGCTACGTGAGTCTGGGTTCCTGGGTCTCCGGTCTCCGAGTTAGACATGAAACCTGGGACTTGCTCCCTGATCTGGGGGCCATCCCATCCATCCTGGTGGGTGGACGAGGCTGTGTGGAGAGGGCCGGCCCTTGGTGGAGTGACCCTTGTCTGGGACAGGGGCTCTGCCCTCTCGTTCTGTCTTCAGAGCTCAGACCACAGCTGGCCATCTGCCTGGGGAGTTCTGGGAACTGCAGTCTAGCCCAGGAGTCTCCTGGACAAGAGGAGGCAGGAGGCTTAGGTTTGTCTTCTGTGGATTTCCCAAATCATCCAGTGTGCCGGGTCCTGCGTGGATTACAAGGCCCTCTGCATAATCATCTCACCGAATGCTCAACCTAAGCGGTAGATCTCTTTTCTACCGTGGATGTATATGTATATGAGGAAACCGAAGCTCAGAAGCTGGGTCACTTGCCGATGTCACGCAGCTCATAATATAAATGGAATCTAAATACAGGGGCTTACTCTACCTCTTTGAACAGCAGTGTCTTCATTTTTAAAATGAAGACTGATTGCCCCATCAACCTGGGCATTGGCACTTCTTGGAGGCTATTGGGACTCCACAGCTCTTTTATATGATCCTGTGGTGCCACCTGCTGGTCAATTTGGGGAAGGCAGCCTGAGTCTTTACTTCCTGAGCACAACTATGTTCCAGGTACTGTTTGGGGCACTACAATGTAGTAGTGAACAGACATAAATTTATACCTTTATGGAACCTAAAGCCCTAGTAGAATAAACAAGCTATAAAACAGATATATAAATGAAATAAGTATGTTCTTGATAAATGCCAAGAAGAAAAAGTAGGGAAGGGGATGTGAAATGTCAACATGTGTGTGAGACTGTGGGGAAGGATGGCAGGGAGGGCCTCACTGAGGTAGCTCTTGAGTCAAGTCCAGAAAGAAGTGAAATCCAGCCGTGGACATGTCTGGGGACACAGAGCCTGGCGTGAAGGAGGAATGAGTGCACGGGAGAGTACCCGGCGAGGAGAGTATGGCCATGGGGCCTTATCGTACCATGTGAGGCCTGGCAGGCAGAGTCCTGTCTCTACCTTTCACCCCGAGCAAGCTGGGGAGCTGTGGGGGTTTTGAACAGAGGGGGAAGACAATCTGACTCAACGGGACCACCTGACGCTGGGTGAGGACAGATGATGGGAGGAGGGGCGGGGGACCAAGGACAGAAACGAGGAGTCCAGTTAAAGGCTGCTACAGTGTTCCCAGGGAGAGCGCGTGGTGGCAAAAGGTGCTGGAATTCTGGGCGTGATCTGAAGGCAGAGCTGACAGAAGTTGCTGATGGATGGGCAGTAGGGTATGAAAGAGAAGAGTCAAGTATGGCTCCCAGCAGATTGCTTGAACAAATGGAAGAACCGAGTTGCTGTTAACAGAAGCAAGGAAGACTGTAAGAACTAGTTTTGGCAAAGCAGAGATCCCAGAGCTCAATTCTGGACGTTAAGTTTAGAGATGCCTATTAGGCTTGGAAGTGGAGATGGTAGCCACCAGCTCTTCTGTATCCTTTCCCGATCCCCTCCAGTAGGTGGGTGGACTCCTCAGCTGCCCAGTGTTGAGTTTTCTCTCTGTTTCCCAGGAGACAAATGTCTTAGGCTTCAAGGGGCCTCGGAAGATGAGCGTGATTGTCCCAGGCATGAACATGGTTCACGAGAGAGTGTCTATCCGCCCCCGCAACGTGAGTCTCTGCCCCTCCCCCTCTCCTCCTTGTAGCCCATGTGTGAGCTGCTAAGGCCGGAACTGCAGCTGGTGTGTTTATGTGGGGGGTAGGGAAATCTAAGGACCCCTATTCCTGGGGACAGATCCCTCTTTGGGGTGGTCGTGGTGCCAAGGCCTGGGCCAGGCTCAGGTGAGGCTGCCCTCCCAGGAGCATGAGACCCTGCTAGCACGCTGGCAGAATAAGAACACGGAGAGTATCATCGAGCTGCAGAACAAGACGCCTGTGTGGAATGACGACACGCAGTCCTACGTACTCAACTTCCATGGGCGCGTCACACAGGCCTCCGTGAAGAACTTCCAGATCATCCATGGCAATGACCGTGAGTGCTTCTGCTCCTACTCGCCACTGTCCACATGGTACCTGGGGCCCTTAGCTTAGGGTTTAGCTCACCTAGCCCTGCCCACACTGGCCAGAGTCTAATGATGTGAGCTGTACAGCTTAGATTAGACGTAAAGATCTTTCTAACCATAATGACTGGGAGGCCCTGGAAGAACCTTCTTTAGAGCCCTGGTCCTAGACTCTGTATACCCAGCAGAGTCTCAGGCATGGGAACAGCCTTTAAATGAACTTTTCCTCCTCTTCTCTGTCTCCTGGTGTTTGTATGCATCTCACTTTCTCCTTTGCCATCTGCTGCCTCTCTCCTGCCACTTTTCCTAACTGACCTTTGTTTTACCTCCTTTGGAATTCCCTTGGCATCTCTGCTTCTTGCTTTTTCTTCCCTCTTGAGTTTGGGTGTCTGTCTGTCCTTCCCTGTCTCCACCATTCCTGCTCTGTCCTTTTGTTTCTCTCTGTCCATGCCTGTGCCTGGCCCCAGCGGACTACATCGTGATGCAGTTTGGCCGGGTAGCAGAGGACGTGTTCACCATGGATTACAACTACCCGCTGTGTGCGCTGCAGGCCTTTGCCATTGCCCTGTCCAGCTTTGACAGCAAGCTGGCCTGCGAGTAGAGGCCTCCTCGAGCCCTTCGGGGTTGCCCAGCCTGGAGCGGAGCTTGCCTGCTGCCTGCCTGTGGAGACAGCCCTGCCTACCCTCTGTATATAGGCCTTCTTCTGCCAGACGAAGCTTTGGCCCTCAGTGGGCTCCTTGGCCCAGCCAGCCAGGAACTGGCTCCTCTGCCTCTGCTGCTGCGGCAGGGGAGCAGCGGGGAGTGAGTGGGTGGGGGTGAAGGGATGAAAGTAATTCTGTGTCCCAAGATCAACACACCCCCACTCTTGGGTTAGTACCGGGCTGCAGTCTGTTTGCCAAGCTGAGCAACCTCTTCAGCTGGGAAGGCCGGAAGAGGTATGGCGGGAAAGGAAGCACAATGCCGGGCTGCCGGGGCCCAGCCAGCCACTCAGCCCAGGACTCAGACGACGACGGGTACCCCAACAGGTAGGGGCACATCAACTTTACATAGCAAAGGGCTTGGTGGCTAAACCTGGCCCTGAAAGCTGCAGAAAGCCCTCCAACTTCAGAAGGCCCCAGCCAGGCCTGAGAGAAGTTAGGAGGGTGGTGGGGACAGGCGAGTGGCAGGACTTTGCCAGGATTGCAGGGCCTGGCTATCTGTGGCTGTGGGAATCAGCTGGTGGCGTACGGTTCTAGCTCATTTGATTTCTCCAGGTTTTCTCTGTGCTCTCGAGGCCAAATGTCTTAGTGAATGAGGCCTGTAGGACACAGGCTCCCTGGATCAGGGTTGTCCTGGCAGCCCTGTCAACTGCCCCAGGAGCTCTCTGCTGAGCAGCCCCAGCACAACCCCCAGAAAATGTAGATGGGGTCTAGTTCACCAGCCCGACTGCACACAGCTAGGCGCGACTGGGGTTCTTGCTGGCAAAGCACCATTCCCAAACCATGGCGTGCTCCAGGAAGAATCCCTCCAAAAGACCCAGCTCCCACTGCTGTTAGCCAAATTGTGGTTGGTTAGGGCTTCTGTGTGTGATTCTTCTTGGGAGGGAATGGGACAAAGTGAGAAGTAGGTAATATTTTAGAACCACGATAGATGAGAGGTGGCAGGACCCTTAGGGATCAACTGGTACAACCTCATTGCTTTAGGTAAACCACACTCAGAAAATGGGACTTGCCCTGGGTCACCTAGCTGGTTAGTGGCAGAGTTCAGAATCTCAAATTCCATTATTTCTTTGTTCCCACTGTTCCCCAAGAAACTAGTATCTCTGGTTCTCTGGCCTTCTGAAGCCCATTCTGCATGCCCTCCCCACTTCTTCCGATTGTAGGGACTTAGAAACGTCAGAGTCGATGTATAAGACTGAAACCATTCCAGAAGGAAATCAGGCAGTTCCCTGTTGAAAGCTGTCTGGGTTTTTGCATGTCAGTCTGGTCAGGATTGGCCATGCCTGGCCCCTCCGCAAGAGCTGTTGCACATTTCCCTGTCTGGGTGTGATAGAGTGAGCGTGAATGTTCCAGGGCTGGGCCTGGTCACTCCCTCCACTGCCACTGCCACTTCTCTTTGGACAGCGCTGTCCTCCTCCCGGGCTTGGGAACTCTATGCTCAAGCTCTTGCCCATTTGTCATTCACCCTGGCAGAGGCTTCTTGCCCAGATGGAGAGCTGAAATCAGTGGAAAGCAAGCGGGGTTGAACCTTGCTTTAGAGTAGATATGCTTGGAAAGGCTAAGTAGAAATTAATTTTTTCAAAAAACGAAGGCCATACTTTAAACATGTTAGCAAAGCTCCATAGGTGAAGGAGTTGTTTTGACTTAAGTGGAAGTAGTATGCGCTCATTTTTTTTCAATCTGGGTTTTCCCATATTGAATGCTTAAAGCAAGGCATACCTGTTCTAGCAGGATCTGCCCACACCTCAGCCGTACATCGGAGAGACCCCTCCAGTGACTAGAGCTTTTGTTAATTAACATGGTCTAGTTTCTACAGGGCACTGGAATTTTCTTTGCCGGGGCTGGTGAAATACTGTGGTGCCATCCTCATTTCTCCAGCTCTAGTTTGGCCCCTCCTTCCATGACTTTGAGAACAGCACGGTGACATTTGAGATGATGGAAACTAGATGATCTCAATTCTCTGGGTCTGTGATTTCAAGGCAGAACAGGTTGATTCTGGATTCTAGTGAGAGGGGAGACCCTGGTGGCAGAGTAGAAAAATCAGAAGCACCATGGAAAACTCTTGGTGTCTTTCTCCTTTAGTATACAGGAGGAGGAGTTGGCTGGATATTTTGGTAGGCTCAGGAAATGTGGGCTGAGCTTTCTAGCCTGGGTACAGAGGAGGGTAATCTCAGCAGCAGAAACCTCTGCTGGGCACTGAGTGACAAGCAAGAGCAGTTGAGCCACCTGTTTGAGACCCAGCCTTACGAGGTCTGCTCTTAAGACTGCATTCCTGGTGATGCTGGTTTTTCATGACTGCTGGCCCTGGCCACGGGCCCAAGAACTCATAAAGCTGCCAGGGCCCCTGGAGACCACCTGGGTTCAGCCTCTCCCACAGTAAGAGTTATTGCCCGTTGCACTCTCTATCCAGATGGTCCTGATTGGGCAGGTGTATTGAAGACGAAATTGAGCAGGCCCTAAGGCTGTTGAACAGCTGGGGTCTTAGGCAGCTTTTCTATAACTGCTCCTGGCTCTGTGACTCCTTCTGGGGCCGCACCCCAAAACTCTACACCCTCTGCCCCAAAACAGTTCTTTTGCAGAGCGGTGAAGTTCACTTCCCCTACTCTTCTCCAAGTCTAGCTTTTCTTTCCTTCTGGCTCCAAGGTGCTCTGTGTCCATCCATGTCTGTCTGTCTGTCTGTCTGTGTATTTGGGGAAAAGGGCAATCAGCAAATAATCAACTGAGGTTTCTTATGATCATCTCTCTAAGGATGAGTAGGAAAGGAATAAGGATGTAGTCACGATCACTTGTGGATTTTGTCCATTCATTTCATGCTTTTGGAACAGAAGTATACCTGGGAAATGACCAGCTCTTTCTCCCAGGGTTTTGAGCAAGAGGACACCACCTAAGAAAGTTGTTTTTCGCTTCCCACTCTGCATTCCCTGAAGAAATTGGTATGTTGCATGTATGCTTTTGGATGAATTTGAACATATTCTAGTGACTGTGCCTTAAAAATCACGACACTAGTTCAGAGGACATGTAAGGTCCAGACCCATGATGAGGACAGGTGTTGGACGCCAGGGATTGTGATAATCATAGGCTAGGAGAGAAGCTGTGGAGCCTGCCTCCTTCAGTGACAAGCAGGGCAACAAAACAGAAGAAGTTTTTCTTCATTCTGAACATAGCAGGACATTTATCTCTAAAAGTTCTAAACTTAACAAGCAAGAGGGGTGATATCAAAGGAAAATGTCCGTGCTTTGCTCACAATGGAGCCTGCGGTGAGAGGAGATGCTAGGCTAGCTGTGTCCTTGACTGTCGTGCAAGCACAAATTCCATCTCCTAGATGGGCTTCCGGGTGTTCCCTTACTGCTGTAACATTGGCCTTCCCTTCTCTATAAGTCCTTGCCCTAGCTGTGACATCCCTGTGTGACTTCAGGATGCCAGGTGGCCCCCAGAGCACACTTTTCCAGATAGCTGAGGGAGTCTGCTTTCTTGCACTGTGACTGGGGCCTGATTGTCCTGCAGCCAGGGCCCAGAACGGGACTCTACACTGCCCTGGCTTGTAGACCTATAGCAGCCCCTGGGGACAGGTTTGGTTCTTAAATTTTCCAACCAAGTGAAGCAGCAGGTTGGTCTTACAGAAAGCTCTACTGCACTTAGTAGCTACGTGATTTTGAACAAAACACGTAACAGCTCCAGGTCTGTTTTTTTGACTGCAAGATGAAGATGTTGGCTTGTCAAAGCTTGCTCTAGGATGCAGGTGAATAAAAGTTGATCCTTTCTTTTATCACTACCTTTTCTAGCTCATCACTGTGCCTTTTTTCTTTCCTAAGAAAGACATCACAACCTTCTCCTCCTGTGTGCTCTTGTCCCTTCCTCCCCTCTTAAGGTCCAGGCAGAGCTGGAGATGAGGCTGAGATCCAGAGTTTCCTAGAGGGTAACTTAGAAAGGGAAGCCCAACTCTGGCCTCTTTAATCCTGCATTTGGTGACAAAGGGGACTTGGTCAGGATGCGTGACGTTTCTCTTGCTGGGAACACACATTTAGCCACTTTTCATGATGCCTAGAATGTGTATGTCTATTTGCACAAGATTGTCTTTTCCTATTTTGAAGTGGTCAGACATTTTATTTTTGTTCAAAATTATCTGGAGTTTTAGACAAATTTGCAAAACTGTGCTTTTATTAAGTGACTTTTTGAATAACTCTTTGGTATTCTGGAGCAAATGTATTTATTTATTGGTATGTGCAATGACAAATGGTATTTTCCCATGTTGACATTATGTATGTTGTAGAATTTAGTGTTTGTCTAAGTACAGGCATATCTCAACAAATTAAACTTGAATTGTTTCAACACTTCTGTGTACTTTTTTCATAAAAGGACAAAACCATGTCTCTTTCCCAAAAGTGTTTTTTCTACATTTCCTAGGAGCCTCAGGTGGGTAGGTGGTGAAGTATCTCCATGTGGACCTGGCCTTTAGGAACAGAACAGGACTGTAGAGCTGAAAAAGGTGGAAAAGACTCAACGGGCAGATAAAACATGAAGACCCAGGCACTTCTTGCTCAGAGCCTGATCCATTTAAGCAGGACTGTAACAAGCTTGAGAATATTTTTTTCAGCCTGTGGCAGATTTGAAGCCAAGAGGAAGGGAGGCTGCACTTGTAGCTGGAAGAAGACATGAAAGCTAATGGTCTAATCCAGAGGGAAGAGGTTACAACTAAAGTCACCAGAGACTGCAAAATGGCCCTAGGCCATTCCTGGCAGTCAGGGTAACCTTAGAGGGTGTCAAGTGTGATAACCAGTAGCACAGGATGACACTTTGATAGTGCTGACACTGTCACCAAGCACACTTCCTGTTTCCTGTGCTTCACCCTGGGATAGACACTGTAAAAACAGTATCTTAATCCTAATACCCCTGGTAAGGTAGCTGTTATTCCCAATTCATAAATGAGGAAACCGGTGCTCTGAGAAGTTAGAGGAGAAATTTGTCCAAAAAATGGAGAAAAAGTACATTTTAAAGACAAAGTCATAGATATGTCATTCATGTTTTTTTCTCAACATTGCTCAATAGCTAAAATACTAAATTTTTCTTT